TCCTTTTAACCATTCCCGGGCTAACGTAGGCACGCCTATTTACAATGATCAACCAATGAGGTTGTGCGGATAACGTCCAATGAAAGTCCTTCCCTCGCAGGGAATTGGTATGGTTCTGATTGTTTGCTGTTGTGGAGCGACCAATAGCAAGTTGGCTCGGAGGAGCCTTCCTCTGGCTCGAGCTTATCATGGAGAGTTAATGCGGCGATTCATGTAAGTCTTTTCGAATACACTACAATTCCTCCCCCCTAAGTTAAAACAATACAGCGTTTCTAACACATACAATCACTGTTTTCCAACAATATATACATCAGTCATTACAATACAGTTTATTGCAATCATAATCAACTGTGGGTTACCTATGGGCTCTTCAATGACTGGGTCAGGCACACTCACTGCTGGGGTTGCAGCCTCAAAACCAGGGGTCTGCCCTGCTTCGGGGACAGTACTGGGCAGTGTAGTACTCACCTCCGTGTCTGGAGGTCTGACGTCAGTTTCTGGAGACTCAGCTGTCGGAGAGTCAGCGCTGTCCTTCGCCCATCTCCTTCTCAGCTGGTCTATGTGGCGCCGCCATTTCCTACCGTTGGCCAACTCTACCACATACATGCGGGTGCCAATACTTTCACACACCACCCCGGGAATCCATGAATGTCCTCCAGTATATAATTCTGGGCAAATACCTTGTCTCCAGACTCGTACATGCACACTTTCGTTGGCGTATCCTTGTGCTCTGGCTGCTGTTAGTTTAAATCCGGGTGCAACCGGTTCAAACAGGTAGTCAAGCGTCAGCTGATTAACAACTTGGCCGGACTACTACGGCCAGTGGCACTACAGGGGGTGGAGTGCTGCCTCAAAAGAAAAGAGCCCAGTTTCACACTCCAGTCTTCCTCATACATTTTGCTTAAGACCTCTTTGGTTGTTCTGACCATTCTCTCTGCCTGCCCATTTAACACTGGATGGAACGAGGCAGAGGTAACATGGCGGATGCCACTGTCAGAGAGAAACTGAGCAAACTCCTGGGATGTAAATTGGGGCCCGTTATCACTCACTAACACGTCCGACAGTCCGTGTGTTGTGAAAAGTCGTCGTAGCGCATGTATGACCGCTACTGAAGTGATCGAGTGCATATGCACCACTTCCAACCATTTTGACAATGCATCAACAACAATTAAAAACATTTGTCCTTGCACGGGCACCACAAAATCTATATGCAGCCTAGACCACGGCTTGCCCATAGATTCCCACTTTTGAGGGGAAGCCTATGGAGGCTCGGGTCCGGCCTGTTGGCATGG